GAACTCAACGAAAACGTGAGACTGTCTTTGGATTCATTGTTCACCGAATGAATGGTTTGAGTCTTGGTTTGTGTGACAGAACTCTTGTATTCATAGCGATGACTGAAATTAAATGAATTCGTGCTCTTATTCTCTTCAGAAGAGGTGGTGTTATATGAGTTAAGTTGCGACCGAAAGCGTCGATAATCAGAGTTGGCGTCACTTCTGGATATCGACAGGAGATCGTCAGCTGACAGATGGCTGAGACCCGAGTAGTTGAGACACGAGTCAACACTATTGCAGTTTGACGTGCAATTGGATGACTGACACGTTTGGGACCAATCAAACGATGTCTGCGAATACAGGACTTTCTCGGGTCGGGGAAACCGTTTGGGAGGAAGAGGCGGCGGAACGCCCTCTTCTTCGCCAAACTCTAGTATATCGGACACTGAGAGAGGCCGCCCGTCGATAACAGGAAGGGGTGGCTTTGGCGGAGCCTTCATCGGTCCGTCAAAGACATCATTAGATGAGTTGTTGAGGACATCATCTGATGAGAGAGAATGATTGAGACGGTCGGCGTGTGCTGTGCGATAGGGGACGGGCGGTGGGATCGGAAAGTTTGTAGTCTCGAGAATCTCTTTCTCTCGAGGAGACAGTGGTATCTCTGGTAACGAAGACCTGTGCGACGATGCGTTCAATAGTGAGCCCTTCAGTGCCAATGATATGGGGTCCGGCTTTTTGGACAGACGGCCCAACGTTTGGGTGGAGAGCGTGGATGTGCCGCTCGAGTCATCGCTACTCTTGGCGGTTGTCTCGCGATTATTGTAGCGATCGATACATAACTGGACGAGACTCTAGTCATATGAAAGATAATAATAAAATTAGTGCTAAATTATGGCTTCAAATGAGAACAAACTACTCATAAATAACTACTAAAAATGCTTTTGTTATCTAATTTTGTTGTCTAAAAGACAGATAAAAGTAAATATAAGTTTCAAATTGAATAAAACGTTAATTGAATTTACATTGACGGCTTCGCCGACATTCTTAGCGATATCTGCGACCGACTGCTTGTCCAATGATTGATCGCTTTTGAGCAAAACGGCGTCCGACCAGCGAATCAGTTCAGCCAAACACTGGTAGACCTGATTTGTCGCCGAAACGATTTGCGAACTGAATAATTGATAAACAAATACATTAATTGACAACATTTGGCAAATATTTGTCGAAAGAGTTTCAAGAGTTAAATCAATTAATTATAGATACTGTAGAGACAAATAGATTGCGTAAACATTGGACTCAAACCTCTGTTCATTATTAATGAGATATGCCTTAAGTTCTGAATATCCGGTTAAAACAATTTCTAAGATAATGGTCACCGAACCGGACAACTGCTCCAATTTGTCCTTTTCGACCACATCCTGGAAGTATCGGAGCGCTAGTGATAACTGTTTGACAAACTTGTTGGCACTGTTGATGTCTTTCTCTTTTTTAACGGTTTTCTGTGACTTTTTGCTGTCGAAAGTATGATAGCCATGAGGTGGTGGCGCTTTGGGATCCCCTTTGGAGCCCCTATTCTTATGGTGTTTGTGATGGCCGTATGGATTGTGCGGCGATTGAGACCGGGTTGCCGACGGACTTCGGATTTGATTCAGTTTCTCAATGAAGTCCTGTTTGAAAGAGCGGGCCCTCCGGACCAGACGTCGACCCACGGGATGACGTGTTGTGTCTGTAATGAGCCGTAAACACAGGCGGAGGGGAGACCGGGAGAGAGAAAAACAAAGATAACTAATTAAATGTCAAATCGAGACAAACATGCAATTCATAAAAGTTAATTGAATTCAAAGACTGAAGTCATTCATATAATGAATAATAATTTACGATAATATAAATGTTCATAAGTTTTTGAGTGCATCGAAGGGCAATAGGGTTTGTCTTCACCACAAACATTGACTTGAGAATACAATAAATAAAAGTTTTTTGAGAGAAAAACAGGATAACAGGATAAACACAATTCATATTTCTTGGGTGCGGAAGTACTGCCAATAATAAGACACATACAGCCATACAGACAGGAAAATACACTCAAATGTATACAACTTTATGGTTAAAACTCTCGTTTCGCGTCACAAAAACAATCGATTCATATGATGGCAAACCGAGTATTTGTTTGATTCATACGACAATACCATTCATATACAAAAAGAGTCAAACTCTGGGCACAGACCTGATCCGCACC